ATCCGGGACTGAGGCTGTAGATCCGGGACTGAGGCTGTAGATCCAGGACTGAGGCTGTAGATCCAGGACTGAGGCTGCAGACCCTAGCCTGACTCTCGCCAGACCCTTGTAGATTGCTGAGCTTCTCACATGGGTCTGGGACTCTTTCATAGCGGATACATTTTAGAAGGCGGGGCCTTGTAAAAAAAATTCCTTGTATGTGATTGGATAAACCACTCATCTTGAATGACGTGTTCCTTCAACCACTCACATCGAAGCACACAACTCCCATGGGTTGCCAAATGCCGGCAAGATTATCCAACCCAAAACTTGCGAGAATGCCCCAAAAAAAATACCCAGAATGTTTTTTGGGCTAAAAATGTAATGTGATCAACTTGGGCTATCATGATTCTGTTTATTGTCTTTCTTTTTATTTCTTACCGACAAGTCTCTTGGAAAACAAGTATGCGGGAAACCACCCAACCTGGCAACCCTGCTGCATAGTGTTGTAAACAGGAACACTTAAACCAGTGCTTAAACCAAACTTTCCATGAACATTTGACTCTTAAAACACGCATATAACAACATGGAACCATCAACATCTCGCCTCAAATTGCATTAAAAGTCTGTGTCTTAATTCGTTTGTATTTAAACTTTTTTTTTTTATCACGGACTTCATGTCTGCCATCTTGGATTGCTTTTGCTGCCACGTGAGACACGCTTGAGAAGGCGGTGCAAAACCGACGTAACGCCGATCCTGATTGGTTGATTATTTTCTGATCTGCTGAAGGAGTTTGCTATGGGCTCGATACCAGACCCTTGTGCGTGACGCGAAACGCCTCTGGTGGAGCATGGCGGAACTACAAGGGTCTGGTGAGAGCCAGGCTAGCAGACCCAGGACTGAGGCTGTAGATCCAGGACTGAACCATGAACATGTAATCGTACACTTCTTACAGACATTATCCACTGCTTTGTCTGCATCTTGTTGTAATGACTGCGTGGAGAGCGCTCGTGTCCCGCTCATGAATGTGAGCAGGTTCTCAGGTGACACGCGCCCGCAGAGCCTCCGGTCGGCAGCTGTTTGTACGTCTTTGTGTCCCATCATCTGTTGAATCATTCACAAACTAACAGACAAGGACCGACCCTTCAACACAGAGGCCCTGGCCAACTCTCTTGATGCACGCCTTGTCTGAATTTTAGAAGGGGACTGAATTAAATATTTATTTCAGAAATGTTAATGTTATTTATCCTCTTTTAGGGACATTTTTCCTTTGCATTTAATCCATCCTGAATGCTACTATAGGACCCACCTCCAGGGCCACAGCTGGAGGATTTTGGAGGATGTGCATGTTTAGCTGGAGCCAATTTCCTTATATGGGCGTTAGTTTTAACGGCTTCAGCTTTGCAATGGAATAAAAGCCTGATGTGAGTTATTTTGAAGCCTTTAAAACAACTTGCGCTGGTTTTTATTAACATACAAGAGAGGGAGAGAGATTGGAGGTTCGGCTGAGTGAGGATCAGACTCAGAACTATTTTCATTGCCATTGTAAGTAACAGGAAGTCACAAACTTGGAATTTGCTTTGACTTTAAGGTGCGAACAAGTTGCAAGAGTTTGTACACAAAGCATTTATCCTCAAGGTCTGGGTTACACTCATTCTTGGTGATCCCAATCCAGCCCCGCAACATAATACTCTAAATTCATTTCATAGACCAATGGCTCCTATGTGTTTGTTATTATTGCATCTAGTGTTTGATTCTCTGATCTGTAGTCTGCGAATTGACAACTTTGTAAAGACGACTCCTGCTGTTTTTTAGGGCAATACGCAAAAAATGAATGTTACAAAATCTTCAAAAACAGACTGTATTTGGCGAAGCAGAGACGAGACGAGGACAGTGTGGACTTCGCGAGTGCGACGGACGAAACGTTATCATCCGAGTTCAGAGAAGAGCTCAGGAACAAAAGGATCCGATAACACAGGCTTTCACTGATAACATCTAACCACTACTGCTACTACTACTGCTGCTGCTGCTACTGTTACTGCTACTACTACTGCTGCTGCTGCTACTGTTACTACTGCTGCTACTACTGTTACTACTGCTGCTACTACTGTTACTGCTACTACTACTGCTGCTGCTGCTACTGTTACTGCTACTACTACTGCTGCTGCTACTGTTACTGCTACTACTACTACTGCTGCTGCTACTGTTACTGCTACTACTACTGCTGCTGCTACTGTTACTGCTACTACTACTGCTGCTGCTACTGTTACTGCTACTACTACTGCTGCTACTACTGTTACTACTACTACTACTACTACCACTGCCACTACTGGTGCTACTACTACTACTACTACTGTTACTGCTACTACTACTGCTGTTACTGCTACTACTACTACTGTTACTGCTACTACTACTACTACTACTGCTGTTACTGCTACTACTACTACTACTACTACTACTGTTACTGCTACTACTACTACTACTACTCTTACTGCTACTACTACTACTACTACCACTGATACTACTACTACTACTGTTACTACTACCACTGCCACTACTGTTGCTACTACTACTACTACTACTCTTACTGCTACTACTACTACTACTACCACTGCTACTACTACTACTACTGTTACTACTACCACTGCCACTACTGTTACTGCTACTACTACAACTACTACTACTACTACTACTGTTACTGCTACTACTACTACTACTACCACTGCCACTACTGTTGCTACTACTACTACTACTACTACTGTTACTGAAGAAGATGACATGTCTGGGATTGTGTCATAAATTCAGACAGAAGACATGTATTATTGTCGATGGTAGAGACAGCACGAACAACACGAACACAGAATGCAAGTGTATTATACAGAGCGGAGGCATGGAGACCTCCAATCAGCAGCTGCCACGGTGCCATGTAGCTTGGCCTTCAGAAAGACAAAACAAGGGAAAAGTACAGGCTTCTGCACATTGATAGAAGTGAGTTGAGTTGAGTGAGTTGATGAGTTTAACTTTAACAAAAGTTGCTTCAAAGTGTTATGAAATCTCACATTACTACTACTACTGCTACTGTCAACACTACTACTACTACTATTGCGACTGCTACTACTAGTACTACTACTACTACTTAGTACTGCTATTACTACTACTACTTAGTACTGCTGCTACCAAAGCTACTTTCACCACAGCTACATTTGAAGATTTGCCAACAAGACTAGTTCAGTTCAATCTATCTTATGAGAAATTGTGTAATAGCTTTGTCAGTACTGCCAGAGGGAACAATGCTCTTTGAAAGTGGATCTCTTAATCTCAATCTTGTCTGGAGCACATAGCATTTTTGGCAGGTTTAAATAATTGGCAATAATAATATGAAAAATAATACCGCAAGCTTTGGGGTTTAGTTTAGACCTTTGATCAAAGACCGCATAGATGGACAATGCTAACTTACTAACGCCATTTTGAACAAGTCCAAACAAGGCAAAAGTGGGGACACATTAGTTTCAACAAGATATGCGTGACTAAGTCTGTTAATATTTACAGTCTATTGTTCACACTCACCATGTTGGGCTTAAATCCATGGGGTATAGCTCTGTGTGTTCCTGGTATTCGAATTTCCAAATTGTTTTTGTAAATCCAGATATGAGCCCTAAAATCTGACAAATTCAAAATGAACAATGCTAACCCACTAGCTCAATGAAGCTCAATAGGGAAGTGCTTATGGACAAAGTTTTGCTCCTACTCTGGCTCCTATTGACTTTCATGTAAAACATTAACTTTGTTTCAGTCCAAAAAGCATAAACATTTACAATCTGTAGTTAGCACTTTCTATGATCCTTTATAAATCCAGATACAAGCCATATAAGGATTGACCAATAAAAAAAATCATTCGCGGGGGAAGCCTCAGTGTAGCAACCATCCTAGCAACACTTCTGTCCCTGTTACAGAGAAAGTCATGCTATTATAAGAAAAATGACCTACAGCGAGCTCATTTTCAAATCGGCTTCTTCTGCTTTCGGCATGATGACGTCAGCCTCGGCCAGTCCCCTCCTTTTATACAGAATGTGGTGGAACAAACCCTCCTAGCTCCTGATTAACTCTTCGGTCTCTAGGTTGTTGCCACCCACATTTTGGCAACAGATTCTTACCCATGGAGGCAGTTTGAGTTAGCTCTATTGACATCACCACTCGCACCAAATGTAGTCATATTTTTGGGGAGTGTGGCAGTGGTTTTTGGGCCTGGAGCAGTATAAGTGATGTTCTAAATGTCAAAGCTAAGCAGGACAGGGCTTGGATACTACTGCAATGGGAGACCTCTGGGAACACCAGGTTCCACAATGGGGCGGCTGCCGCTGTAAGGTGCCAAACTGTTGTTGTGTCTTTAGACAAGACACTTAAACCACGTTAGAATGAATCTGGTGTGTTTGTGAATGGTTGGTGGTTGCGGCACTTCTGTCATTGTGCCCCTAGGCAGCAGTGGCTACAGTAGTTTCACTGTGTACAGTGTGAATGAATATTAACATGGAAAGCATCTTTGAGAGTCCAGAAGAGCACTGTATTATGTATGTATTATTATGATTATTATATTAATAATCATAATAATTATTATTGTTATTATAATTATTATTATTATACTTTTATTATTTCCAGCTGTTTACCACACGCTCAGAGCTTTGTCGACCCAACTGTCTATAGAACCATATCACAGTTTGTGATGTTGAGGGAAGGGTCAGTTTTACACACTAAACATACAAATAAACATTTAAATAATACTTTTTCCAGCAGAAGTGTTACGCTATTGTGGTGAATAGAAAGGACATTTTGTCATAATTTATTTTCCTAACTTCAGGTTTCAGGTTTGATTCAGCTCATTATGTGTTTATAGATATTGAAGCTGTTGATACGAGCCTGTGGCTGTAGATTCAGAACAGAGGCTGTAGATCCAGGACTGACTAAGGCTGTAGATCGAGAGCTAAGGCTGTTGCATGTGTGTAACTTCGTTTGTTGTTGCCAGGACGACATCATGTTCGATTTCCAGTGCCACTACAGAGAGGAGCGGTGGGCCACAGCGCGATACTTTGACTTTGTCAAAGATTTCCTGTCAGCGACTCAGAGGAAGGAGTTTTTAGATGACTGCGAACCTCCTCCCTGCCCCACCACCACAGTACTACCCACCACGAGCATGGCCACAAGGCTCCAGTCAAGAGGTGAGTCCCGCTGCTACTGCTGCTACTGCTGCTACTACTACTACTACTACTACTACTACTCCTGCTATTACTGCTACTGCTGCTACTACTACTACTACTACTCCTGCTACTACTGCTGCTGCTTCTGCTGCTATTAAATCTCCCTCTAAGTCTTCCCCTGCTACTATTACTACTGCTGCTACTGTTAATACTACAACAACTACTACTACAAGTGCTGCTACTGCTTGCACTACTACAACAACAACTACTACTACTACTGCTGCTATTATTACTACTGCTACTACTGCTACTAGGGGCTCAGCTTGTGTTCATGGCAGGTATGGATAGACATCAGTTTGATTCTTTAGAAGTATGACTCCATCAAATATTTCAAACATTTTACTTTTCAATAAATTAGAACAATGTATTTGGACGTGTCTTCTCTTGTCAACTCCAAAAACCTCTTTGCTTTTTTATCATCAATTTATAGTTTCTTTTGTGCGATTGACCAATACATCGAGTTCCCTGCAGCATTCTGGCCTGAAATACGTTTCCATTGTAGCACACACCATGTCTGAAGCTATTCCCATTGCGATCCGCTGGGAGGGCCAAAGAAAGATTCAATATTTTTACTGCACGATTCTTGGCAAAACAAGGCACTTTCATCGCCTCGTCCAAGTTTCTATAAAAGCTGTCAGCTCGGATTTGCTGTTGGGTTTCCTGGGAGTGTGATCAGAATTCCTCTGAGTTGTTATAATAGAGGCCTTTTCAAAGAAGACGAAGGCGTCACAAAAACAAGTCGACTTCTATTGTTTCTATTACTACTGTTACTATCATGAGCAGTGTTGTGCCAGTTCACAGCTTTTCTGAACTTGTTCAAGTTCAGTTCATACATGCTCAAAGTGAACAGTTCACAATTCAAAAGTTCAAAGTTCACAATTTTAATTCTGAACTAGTTCAAAGTTCACTTTACTTTTTTTGTGAGATATTCAAATAAATACAGTACTTCTTTTCAGTACTTCTGGGCGGCAGTAGCTCAGTTGGTAGAGCGTTGGCCTTTGAGCCAGAAGGTCGTGGGTTCAAGCCCCGCTCAAGACCTTCACCATCGACTCCCACTGACTACTGTTGTTGTGTCCTTGGCAAGACACTTAACCTCTGGGAACACCAGCCACAGTGGGGCGGCTGCGGCTGTAAAGTGCCAAACTGCCGTTGTGTCCTTAGGCAAGACACTTCACCCCCATTGCCTAGAATGAGTCTGGTGTGTGTGTGAATGGTTGGTGGTGGTCGGAGGGGCCGATGGCGCATACTGGTTGCCTCGCTTCTGTCAGTGTGCCCCAGGGCAGCTGTGGCTACATTAGTAGTTTATCACCACCGTGTATGGAGTGAATGAATAATGACACATGTGAAGCGTCTTTGAGTGTCCAAAAAAGCGCTATATAAAACCGATGCATTATTATTATTATTTTCACACTACGAGATAGAAATCACTATATGTGATTTATATGTGATATATATATCATTTTTCAATGGGAGCAAAACTGAGTTGTCCCATCTCTGCTCATAAGTACTACAGACAGTAATGCGCTGCAGAACGTGTGTCTATACTTTATGTCAAATGTAAACGGCCCTGTGTCGCTGACTCACCCTTTGTTTTCATCACGACTCGGGCACATGTGAGTCCAACAACCCATGAAAAGCACTAGCATACAGCGCTGCACCGCAAAAGAGTCGGGTGCGTTCATAGATGGTGGAAACCGTGGGAAATTTTTGTTTTCGCCGGAAAAAGAGCGGAGAATACAGGAGGGAGGAACTTTCCCTCGTTGCATTTCAAAAGAGAAAAAAGATTTAATTCAGTTTTCAACGGAATACAAATTCCAACGTTCATTTACAGTGATGTCTGCCGTTCATGACACATAATGTGAACTAATTCACGTTCAAGTTCTTTATTAAAAAATGTGTTGCGTTCAGTTCAACGTTCACAAAAAAGTGAGCGTGTTCAATGACTGCGTTCCTTTGAACTCGTTCATGCACAACACTGATCGTGAGATCATACAACAGTCGACATCACAGAGAGCCGTGCCTCCTGAGCTCCATGGACCTCTGACGACTGACCGGACTGACGAGACCGCTGCATCCGTAGAGGACCGGGACATCTGGATCTAAAGAGGATCTGATCTGTGCATCCGAAAAGGACTGGGACCTGAAGAAGATCAGTCCCTGAAGAAGATCAGTCCCTGAAGAAGATCAGTCCCTGAAGAAGATTAGGACCTGAAGAAAATCAAGACGTCTGCAACAGGAGAGGACCAGGATCTCTGCACTCGATGAAGACCGAGACCTCTGTATTCAGAGAGGACCGGGACCTCTGCACCCGGAGAAAGCCAAGACCTCTGCATCTAGTATATAGGACTTGAATCTCTCCACTGAGAGGACCAAGAAAGAGCTGTGGCCTCTGAGTTGATTTTGAGTTGAAGTTGATTTCCATCCCAGCACTCGGCTCAACCTGCCCAAGTGCCGGAGGTCCTGGTTTGCTCAAGCCACCTGGACCAGGCCCCGGCCCCTGGCTCAGTTTTAAGCTCTGTGTAGTTCTCCATCAGGTTAAGTTTACAAAAAGTTATTTTCAATCGCTACTGAACAAAACTTCTGCTCCCATCGGACGTTCCTGTCATGACCTAAGCGCCAACACTGTGCTGCAAGCGGATTATTTTGACTAGCCACAATTTGCTGCCTCCTCATATGTTTTACTAAGCCCCAGATGTCAGCTCTGCGGCCAGGAATAAAGCGACGAATAGCAGAGAGGTGCTGTTTGCGGCCCAATTTACCGCTGATTTGAAGCGGGGGCTGTCCATGAGGCTGGGGAGGCTGCTCATTACCGCAGCAGCCTCCTTTTGATGCTCCGCCGAACATCTGAATCCAGTTTGGACTAATTTAGACCAGGCCTTGCGCCACAGATAGCATCACCTGAACGGCAGCCAAGACGACGAGCGATTAGTCAAGAGTCAGTGGAGTTCTACAGCTTCTAAATGGCTTTTCCGTCCTTAAGGATGATCTTTTAAAAGTGCTAGATTGATGTTTGAGCAGATGGAGGCTTTGCATTTAGTGCAGCGTACAGAAGGCTCCTGCTTTGCCTCAAATTTGGTCATTTGTCCAATTAAAATGTTACTGCTACTGTCTACGCTGACCTTTCCTCCAGTGTTCCAGCTTCCATTCTCCTACTGCCTTCTCAGAACCCACTGTCTGGACCGAATCCAAGTTCTCCAACATAATTTCGATCGTATCATAAAAGGTTAGGATCACACTTTTTCTGAGAAAGAAAACTCACTCTCAGAAGCCGTTTTTCACTGCACGTTTTTGGCTCGACTCAAACTGTTAAAAATCTGTGGTTTAGCACTCTCTCAAGCCCCGTTTCCACCAGCCCGACTGCACTCTACTCGCCCCAAGTTCAGGATGACAAGGGACAGCTGAGAACAAGCCATTTTGGAGCAAATTATCCCTGTTTCCTCATGCCCTATTCAACGCTACTGGGCCAAGACGGACTGAGCTACTGAGGTTCAAGGTTCAACTTTATTGTCATAGACTCACAGTGCTGTTGGGAAAAAAACATACAAGACACACTCAGCATCAGGACAACCAGCTCGTCTGCACAGTTTCAAAACCAGAATATACCATACGCAAAGATACCAAATAATACAAAGTAAAAGACCACAGATAAAAACAATATTACACAATAAGCAACAAAGTACATACAATGACTGAAGTGCTAATGCAGCATAGATCCAGAAGTACATGGCACTTCCTCCTAACCAAGTTCTTAGAAACACTAAAATCATTGCACTGCACTAGAGGAGTTCACTTCTACATGTAAGTCAATAAGCGCCAGAGCGAGTTGGTCCTTCCCTATCGGGCTTCATTGGGCAATCGGGTTTGCATTGTCCATCTGTGTACAGTCTATGGTCATTCCCTCTTGTTCAGTTGCCGGAGTTGTGTCTGTTTTGAAGCAGGATTTCTTTGTAATGTGAGTCAGAAAGAGTTCTGCACAGCACAGGTCCCGCTGCTCATCTCCGCGGGGTACAGAGCTGAAAGACGAACAAATCACTCTCACAGAGACGCACTCCGAAACAAATCCAGCTGGAGGTGTGGAAAGTGGGCTTCAAGAACTCTGCGTGGAGTTTCAGAGAGATTTATAGGATTTTTATTTGTGAAGATGTGAACAGAAGAGACCACACTCAAACTTCCACTTCAAATAAACTTCAGGCATTGAGTTCTTCACAAAACAAGATCAACTAACTATCACACAAGGCATAAATAATGACTGCAATAAAAATATTGAAGATACGACCCCTCAGTTGTATGCAGCAAAACAGAACTGTTTTTTACCTGGATTTGAACACTGTCAGAGTGGAAGCCTGTCTCACATTTTCAGGAAGACCGTTACAGATTTTAGCTGTATGAATCTGAAATACAGCACCGGCACAGTCCCTATGCTCCTCAGAATCCCAGCAGGAGGCCATGTCCCTGTGCTCCTAAGAGTGGCACTAACATGTCAGGTAAATTGGTGCGGGGCCTTGAAGAGACTTGTACACAATCAGAGCTGTTTTAAAGTCTATTCTCTGAGCCACAGGAAGCCAGTGCAGAGACCTGAGAACTGGACTAATTTGATGGTACCTCCTGCAGCTGCAGAAATTTGAATTTACCAGTGAGCAGGCGTTACATAGTTTAATCTACTGGAGACAAAAGCATGGATAATAGATACTTTTTATTACTGCAAAGTTTTTGGACGGTGAAAATATGCACATGTTACAGTTGCTGATGTGGCTTTTAAAACTATTGTTTGTATTAGTAGGACTAGCAACGGTAGAAGTAGCAGTAGTAGTAGTAGTAGCCTCTCTACTGAGGAGAGTGACCTGAGCCCTTTGTGGGAAAAGCCAAACTGAGTAGCTCGGCCCATCTTCTCTGTCCATATAAGCGCAGTGAGTGTCCTTTTGTGTGGGCCTTGGATCTGGGGCAGGTCCTTCGGGGGGGGACGGGGCGGGGCCGGGGGGGGGGGGGGGTTTATGTCCGCAGGGGGGAGGGGGTATTTGAAGTTGACAGTCCCCAGACGCCTCCGTCCCTGTCCGGTTCATAGAAAGCCTTTTGTCAGAGTCCGCTCTGTCCGCATCTTCCCAGCGCTGCAGATAGAAGGCCCATTTTAGCACCTGACAAAGAAAAGAGAGGGAGGACATTTCACCTGGAGAGAGAAACACAGAGGACATTTCACCTGGAGAGAGAGACAGAGAACATTTCACCTGGAGAGAGAGACACAGAGGACATTTCACCTGGAGAGAGAGACACAGAGAACATTTCACCTGGAGAGAGAGACACAGAGAACATTTCACCTGGAGAGAGAGACATGGAGGTCTCAGGATTTTTCCATGTCTTACAACTTTGTTCCAATAGAAGTGAAGAAGACACCTACGATTGAGATCTGAAAAAAACAGTTATTGGTTTGAATTAAATAAACCAGATACTTCTGAGACAAGGCCGAAAGATGCATATAAGAGCACAGGGAAAAGATATGCTTATATTATAAATGTTTGTGGTTGGACCATGGATGTAAAGTATTACGTGGCGAAAGTTAGTGCTTAAACCCTTCTCCACATGGACAAGAGGCCACCTATGGTACTGCAGCCTAAATCCACATGGGGCTATAAGCAGCTATCCCTTTAGACCGCAGTGTTCACCAAAATTGCTCGTCCTCAGCTGGCAGGGATCTACAGTTTTCACAAAGAAGGATCTTGTCGGAATTCTTGTGTCCCTTGTCTCCTTTCTATAAATCCACAGTTTTGTGCAACAAACTTGGCTCCGCTCTTTTTTGACTCTCATCAGCTGCGTGCAGATCGGTCAGAATGTTCATGTGTCACTCTGGTCCTGCACAAGAGAGGGAACTGGAGAACCAGTGCTGGCCAGAAGGCCTCACTTCTGCTAATGTTTGGAGACAAGACACAAGGTTTGAGTTGGACGCTTACAGGTCACTCCTTCATTTTGATCAGTGTAAAGATAGATGTGCTTTGTTGTTTTGTTTCATTACGTGAAGCAAAAGCTGAAAACGTGGTATGTTGAGTTGTGGAATGACTTTGTGGTGTTGCAGTTAGGGTTAAATCAAATGCATAGCATGAAATATGTTGTGTAATGTTGCTCTTGAACATTAGTATCATTGTATTGTAATAGTAATATTAGTCTATGGCCCCAAATCCGCCCAGCAGTACTCTACTCTACTCTACGCTACTCTACTCTATCAGGTTGCCTTTCCGTAACGCGTTGGTATCTGGTACCGTATCCCAGCAATCTACCCACAACAAATGTGTACCCGGGGAAATTCCCTGGTAACTATGGCTTCCAGCTAACCTCTGTACAATCACTGTCAGTTAGAACACTTTATTTCCATCTCTGAATTAAAGAATGCTGTATATTTATAGACACAAATGACCTGAGATTGACCCTGTCCTTGTCCTTTTCAGGTTCCACAGAGTCCATCAGTGAAGTGTGTCCGCCGCAGAGGAACTGTCAGCCTCGTAAGTGTCTCCCATCTCTCCCTCCCCTCTCTGCATTTCTCTCTCTGCCCTCTAGGCCTCCCCTGTCTGCCCTCCCTCTTTCTGGCCTGAGGCAAATTCCTTCTAAGGTCTGACTCTTCTCTCAGTTTGACACTTGTCCATCAGCTCTTTCCTTTGTTCAGAGAGAAAAAGTTTAAATCTTAGTTACCTAATTTTTAAACCTAATTATCAAGAGCTGATTGGCCAGGTGAGGGTGGTCCTCCATTTTTCAGTTTCTGTCGTCAAAGCCAATCTAACGCTTTCACAGTTCCGGAATACATGTTGAAGATTATTCCTAGCTGATTTTATATTGTGAATTATATTTTCACAATCTAATTTCGCAATATATATTTTTAGCCATATGGCCCTGACTCTTACATGAAAGATACATGTTTTAAATGTTATCTTTTGTGTAAGACTTTCTGTTGGTGCATCTCTACACATGCCTCTGGTGTGTTGCTCTGATCCCGGGGATTGAGGATGCTTTTGTGACAGTTTGACACATGTTTGACGGCTCGGGGAGAAATCGCAGTGTGTGAGTTTTGCGTTTCTTTGCTTTTGTTCAGAGAGTAATAGATAATCGGAAAATCATTTGACTTGAATGTTTGTGGAAGAGCGCATTGAGCAAAAAGAGAGACCAGAGAGAGACCAGAGAGAGACCAGAGAGAGACCAGAGAGGGACCAGAGAGAGACCAGAGAGAGACCAGAGAGAGACCAGAGAGGGACCAGAGAGAGACCAGAGAGAGACCAGAGAGAGAGACCAGAGAGGGACCAGAGAGAGACCAGAGAGAGACCAGAGAGAGACCAGAGAGGGACCAGAGAGAGACCAGAGAGAGACCAGAGAGAGAGACCAGAGAGGGACCAGAGAGAGACCAGAGAGAGACCAGAGAGGGACCAGAGAGGGACCAGAGAGGGACCAGATATACTGTATACCAGAGAGAGAACCAAAGAGAGACCAGCAAGAGAGACCAGAGAGGGAAAGCAGTGAAAGAGAGACCAGGGTGAGACCAGAGAGAGAGAGACCACAGAGAAGAGAGAGAAACTAGAGAGAGAGAGAGAGAGAGACCAGAGAAAGAGGCCAAGAATTACAGACATTAGCTCCATACCCAGACTCTAATCTGACTTTTGGCACTTAACATGGTTGCTACATGCCTCATGTGCGGTGGGATAGACAGAGGCAAGGTCCCAAGTATTACAGCTGTCTCCCATCACAGCACTGACCATACAAAAGATTACATACAAAACTGCATTTAATAAGAAGATCCTCAAGCATGTATGTCCCGGTCGTACCTTTACCTTTCCGTTACTGTCACTAGAGGACAGGGCTTTTCAATGCATCTCTGTTTCGTAGATTTGTCTCTGTGCAATTGTGCTGCTTCTCGCACGCCGTGTGTATACTTCAACGGTATCATGTGACCACTGCTACAACATGCCAGTTTTCTTTATTTGAAGCTCTCGCTCTTTCTCTAGTCCCTCTCTCTGGTGTCTCTCTCTCTGGCCTCTCTGTCTGGTCCCTCCCTGGTCTCTCTCTGTTCTTTCTCGCTGGTCTCCCTGTCTGGTGTTTCTGTCTCTCTCTCTCTCTCTCTGTCTCTGTCTTTCTCTCTCTGGCTCTCTCTGTCTCTCTGTCCCTCTCTCTCTCTTTCTCTGTCTCTCTGTCTTTCTCTCTCTGTGTCTCTCTCTGTCTCCCTCTCTCTGATCTCTTTCCTGGTCTCTCCCTCGGGTGTCAGGCTCTCACTCTGGTGTCCCGCTGGAGACCGGAGCTTGATCTGGCCGATAAAGATGCATTTCTGTGGTTTTGAGGTTCAGGGCTGGACTTGTTCAAACCTGCATTATCGTAATAATGGTTTACTTAAGTGAGAGCCCTGCAGGGAGACATCCCAGCATCACTCAGCAACACACTCTCCAACTGTCGCTCTCCCTCTCTCTCTCTCTGTGTGTGTGTCCCCTTCTCTGTCTCTGCCTCTGTCTCTCTATCCTCTATCTCGGTCTCTCTCTCTCTATGTCTTTGTCTCTCCCTAGCCTCTGTCTGTCTCTCTCTCTGTTTGTCTTTCTCCATGTGTCTGTCTCTCTCTCTGTGTCTGTTTATTTGAGAAGAGCGTCTATTTTGTGTTCTATATAAATAAAGCGGCATCTAACTGCTCTTCTTGTTGCAGAAAAGCGCATTCTCTCTGAAGTCCTCGAGCGCAGCCTCCTGTCCCTACTCTTCGTCCCTCTGCTAGCCATCATCCTCCTCCTCGTCTGCAAGGTAACTACCGATCAGGCCAACATGCTTCCATGGCTTGTTACACCTCATTGTAAACCTATAATTTTCTCAGGTAATAACCGAATCCTTTATGTAACTTGAAATAATCAACCCAAAATGCGGTGGAGCTGCAAATTTAAAATCCATTTAAAATCCCCATACGAGTTTTGAGAATTCCAAATCTCAAAGGTTTGAAGACGTGACAAAGGCTCACGAGCTAACTGCTAACTCCACCTCCCTGGTCTCTCTTGTGTCTCTTTAGTCTCTCTTCCTCTGGTCTCACTCTCTGGTCCCTCTTGTGTCTCTCTCTAGTCTCTATGGTCTATCTGGTCTCTCTTTTCTATATCTTTAGTCTCTCCCTCTGGTCTCACTCTCTGGTCCCTCTTGTGTCTCTCTCTAGTCTCTATGGTCTATCTGGTCTCTCTTTTCTATATCTTTAGTCTCTCCCTCTGGTCTCACTCTCTGGTCCCTCTTGTGTCTCTCCCTGGTCTCTCTTTTGTCTCAGGTTTCTCGGTGGTCACGCTTTGTGGTCTCTAGTGTGTGTGTCTCTAGCTTCTAGTCTCTCTCTGGTCTCTCTTTTGCCTCTCTCCGGTCTCTCTCTGATCAAAAAGCCTCCAGTTCTTGTAAATTCCTGAGCCACCTTGCATGAATTACAGGTTTGACATATATAAAACCTATATTCATCGCTTCACACAACCGTCTTGATAAGCCTCCACTCTGCGTCACGGCCTGATCATGCGGCAGAAGCTCCTGGGTTTGAATGCTGGTTGGAACAGAGCGTTTCTCAGTGGAGTTTGCATGTTCTGCCTGTGTCTGGAACGCATGAACCCGGGGTGTGATGTGGTCGTGGAGGTGTGACGTGTGGTGTTGTTACAGCTGCGGTCTCGGAGGAGCGCACAGGACTTGGAGCAGACCCGAGTCGAGGACGAAGTCTTCACAGCGGCAGAAGGAAGAGCCGCTCTGGGTGACACCGGCGACTCTGAAACGTACGTCTGGGCTGGGGCCAGGGGTGGATCTGCTTCTAAGGTTGGGGCTCGAGCTGGGACTATAGGAAGGAGACTGGAGCTAAAACTAGTAGGGATGGGATGATTCAATTCAATCCTGGTGACAAAATTGGGCAACATGGTGGCGCAGTGGTTGACGCTTGTGCTTCAGAGCAAGGTCCTGGGTTTAATATACTGTACATACATGTTAATAAATGTTCATGAATGTCCTTAAATATCCTGGATCATCATCATGTCCTCAGAGCTAAAGCAGGACTGAGAAAGCTTTCAGACGGGGAGGGGGGTCCAGCCCACAAGTCCAGGCTGGGGAAGACCAGTTCCCAGGTTCAGATGAAAGAGGCTGTGTTAAAGATTCAGGGTCCCATCATCACGACATGAAACAGACAATAGGACAGTGGGTGGATAGCAATGAACAGACTACACATGACGTGGGAGAGAGGAGAGGATAGTGCTATTACCATACTTCTCCAGCAGGGGTCTCCATCTGCAGCGTCAATGATGATCTGTGTTTTTAGGCTTAACGTTTTCTTTCTCAAGCTTACCTACTGAGCCAAAACTACAGAGGACCGTTTGAAGCCGGGTCTTGAAGAGACACGGAGACTTAGAAATAGCCTTCAAAAAGCCGTCACTTCATAAACACATTAGCAACAACAATGGCAGAACTGTCCATAACTCACACTGATTACACTGGCCTTTGAAAAGCAGTGTTGTTTGGAAGAGGAGACCGTGAAACCTTATGATCGTCCTCTCGGTCAGAGAAATCAACGTCTTGTATCTTGGCTCAGGTCCGGAGTTAAATTTCTCAAGAGTTTTCACATGATCGGCATCAAAGTGCTGTGTTTTTAATCCAAGAATTGATGAAGTTGGATAAAAATGGTGTGTGTGTGTGTTGCTGCTCCTGATTGAATGTGCGTCATATGTCTGTGCAGGAACCAGCTCAACGTGGTGACGGTGTGAAAGCACTTCTGCAGCAAAACTGGTATGAATCACTTTATATTTAAGACATATGTTGCTTTTCTGTATTTCTGGTTTTTCATAATTACATACTATAATCAAGACAAGGCAAGTTTATTTGTATAGCACAGTTTACACACAAGGGCTCAACTCAAAGGGCTTTACGAAACAAGATGGCAACATCACACAAGGCATTAAAATAAAAAATAATCAAAGTACATTAAAAAGGGTACTCTCTGGTAATTGGTCTTGTTAGTCTCTCTCTCTCAGGTGTCTCACTCTGGTCCATTTGGTCTCTGTCTTTGGTCTCATTCTAGTCTCTCTCGAGTCGCTCTCTGGTAGTGCACAAATATGCAGGACTACATTCAGCCATATGGTGTGCAGTGTTAGAGACACAACATTTTGGAGTACTGAGCTCATGGAACTACGGAACTGGGACCTACCGCATATTTATAGGGCTCTTTAAGGTGGATATAAAACTAGTCATGCGACCACAGCTGAAAATGTTCTTTTCCTTGGACTCCCTCTTTTTAAACTGTTGGTACATGTTGTGTTACTGTTTTTCCATAACTTACACTTACACTGGTCTTCACAAGTTTAGGATCCCTTAGATCAGTGTTGGCATGGTGCAGAGAGGACTGGGCAGCAGTCGAAGGCGGAGACCTCGACGACCCAGTCCGCACACACAACAGCTGGCTCTTGGGACGTGGAACGTCACCTCACTGGGGGGGAAGGAGCCCGAGCTTGTGGGGGAGGTTGAGCGATACCGACTAGAGATAGTCGGCCTCACCTCCACACACAGCTTGGGCTCTGGAACCCAACTCCTTGAGAGGGGTTGGACGCTCCACTTTTCTGGTGTTTCCCGCGGGGAGAGGCGGCGAGCTGGGGTGGCCATTCTCATTGCCCCCCATCTCAGCCGCCACGTGTTGGAGTTCTCCCCGGTGAATGAGAGGGTCGCGTCCCTCCGCCTCCGGGTGGGGGACAAGTCTCTCACTGTTGTGACGGCCTACGGGCCTAACGGCAGTGCAGAGTACCCGGCCTTCTTGGAGTCCTTGGGAGGGGTACTGGACAGTGCACCGCCCGGGGACTCCGTTATTCTCCTGGGGGACTTCAACGCCCATGTGGGAAATGCCAGTGACACTTGGAGAGGGGTGATCGGGAAGAGCGGCCCCCCTGATCTGAACCCGAGCGGTGTTCAGTTGTTGGACTTCTGTGCCAGTCACAGTTTGTCCATCACGAACACCATGTTCGAGCACAAGGGTGTCCACCAGTGCACGTGGCACCAGGACACCCTAGGCCGGAGGTCGATGATCGACTTTGTTGTCGTATCATCTGACCTTCGACCGCGTGTCTCGGACACTCGGGTAAAGAGAGGGGCGGAGCTGTCAACCGATCATCACCTGGTCGTGAGTTGGATCCGCTGGCAGGGGAAGAAGCCGGTCAGACCTGGCAGACCCAAGCGTATAGTGAGGGTCTGCTGGGAACGTCTCGCTGAGCCCCCTGTCAGACGGACTTTCAACTCACACCTCCGGGAGAGCTTCTCCCAGGTCCCGGTGGAGGAGGGGGACATGGAGTCCGAGTGGACCATGTTCTCTGCCTCAATCGCCGATGCGGCGGCTCGTAGCTGTGGTCGCAAGGTCTCTGGTGCTGGTCCCGGCGGCAACCCCCGAACCCGGTGGTGGACACCAGCAGTAAGGGATGCTGTCAGGCTGAAGAAGGAGTCCTATCGAGCCATGATGGTTCGGGGGACTCCTGAGGCAGCTGTCCAGTACCGGCAGGCCAAGCGTGCCGCGGCCCGGGCTGTTGCAGAGGCAAAAACCCGAGAATGGGAGGAGTTCGGAGAGTCCATGGAGCATGACTATCGGTCGGCCTCAAAGAGATTCTGGCAAACCGTCCGGCGCCTCAGGAGGGGGAAGCAGTTCTTTGCCAACACCGTGTACGGTGCGGGTGGAGAGCTGCTGACCTCGACGGGGGATATTGTCGGGCGGTGGAAGGAATACTTTGAGGTTCTCCTCAATCCCCCCGTCACGTCCTCTGTTTCAGAGGCAGAGGCTGAGGATGTTGGGGCGGATACATCCATCTCCCTGGCTGAGGTCACCAAGGTGGTTGGTAGCCTCCATGGTGGCAAGGCTCCGGGTGTGGATGAGATCCGCCCTGATTATCTAAAGTCTCTGGATGTTGTAGGACTGTCTTGGCTGACACGTCTCTGCAACATCGCGTGGCGATCGGGGGCGGTGCCAATGGAGTGGCAGACCGGGGTGGTGGTCCCTCTCTACAAGAAGGGGGACCGGAGGGGTGTGTTCCAATTATCGTGGGATCACACTCCTCAGCCTCCCCGGTAAGGTCTACTCCAAGGTACTGGAGAGGAGGCTACGGCCGATGGTCGAATCTCGGATCCAGGAGGAGCAGTGTGGTTTTCGCCCCGGTCGCGGAACACTGGACCAGCTCTATACTCTCCATCGGATACTCGAGGGTTCATGGGAGTTCGCCCAACCTGTCCACATGTGCTTTGTGGATTTGGAGAAGGCGTTCGACTGTGTTCCCCGGGGTGTCCTTTGGGGGGTTCTCCGGGAGTACGGGGTCGGGGGTCCTCTGCTGAGGGCCATCCGGTCCCTGTATGACCAGAGCCAGAGCTGTGTTCGCATTGCCGGCAGTAAGTCAGACATGTTCCCGGTGAATGTTGGCCTCCGACAGGGCTGCCCTTTGTCACCGGTTCTGTTCACTGTATTTATGGACAGAATATCTAGGCGCAGCCAGGGGTCGGAAGGGGTCCGGTTCGGGGACCACAGGATTTCATCTCTGCTGTTTGCGGACGATGTTGTCCTGTTGGCTCCAACGAACCAGGACCTGCAGCATGCACTGGGACGGTTTGCAGCCGAGTGTGAAGCGGCTGGGATGAGAATCAGCACCTCCAAATCTGAGGCCATGGTGCTCGACCGGAAAAAGGTGCCCTGCCCTCTTCAGGTGGGTGGAGAGGTCCTTCCTCAAGTGGAGGAGTTCAAGTATCTCGGGGTCTTGTTCACGAGTGAGGGAAGAATGGAGCGTGAGATTGACAGGCGGATCGGTGCAGCGTGCGCAGTGATGCGGTCGCTGTATCGGACCGTGGTGGTGAAGAGGGAGCTGAGCCGAAAGGCAAAGCTCTCGATTTACCGGTCAATCTTCGTTCCCTCCCTCACCTATGGTCATGAGCTTTGGGTAATGACCGAAAGAACGAGATCGCGGATACAAGCGGTCGAAATGAGCTTCCTCCGCAGAGTGGCTGGGCGCTCCCTTAGAGATAGGGTGAGGAGCTCAGTCACACGGGAGGAGCTCGGAGTAGAACCGCTGCTTCTCCACGTCTCGAGGAACCAGTTGAGGTGGCTCGGGCATCTGTTCCGGATGCCTCCTGGACGCCTCCCTAGGGAGGTGTTCCGGGCACGTCCCACCGGGAGGAGGCCCCGCGGAAGACCTAGGACACGCTGGAGGGACTATGTCTCTCAGCTGGCCTGGGAACGCCTTGGGGTCCCCCCGGACGAGCTGGAGGAAGTGTGTGTGGATAGGGAAGTCTGGGCGTCTCTGCTTAGACTGCTGCCCCCGCGACCCGGCAACGGATAAAGCGGAAGAAAATGGATGGATGGATGGATAGATCAGTGTTTTTCAACCAGTGTGCCAGGGACCGTTAGTGTGATGTTATTCAGTGTGCCTTGGGAAATGATCCAATATCACCCACTTGGTCAAAATAATGTGGAAAAAAAAGAAAGAATTAGAGGATTAGAGATTCACTTTGCACAATTTTCTCTGTAATACACTTTGACGAGACTTACTTTGTTTTGTTAATAAAGACCTCAGCGTAACATCAGTTTGTATCAGTTTCAGCTGGTGGTGTGCCCTTGAGATAGTTTTAAAGGAAAAAGGTGTGCCACGGCTCAAAAAGGTTGGGGAACGCTGCCTTAGATCAGCGGTGTTGCTGTCAAGCTGTGTTTGTTTCTTCTTCCCGCCTTAGGACAGTGGATACAAATAGCTATTGTACTAATTTCAACATATTTCTGACAAATTGATTAAAATGCACTGTCCTGGCTTTATATGATTTCACAAAACCACTAATAATGAGTGGTATTATGTTCCACAATTTCCAAAATATGGCCAAACAATGACATCTATGGGTGTGTCAGCTTCAAAGACCCGATCAAAGTGTTTTTCCTTGAGAGTTCGTGCTTCAGTTCTGACTTTTGCTCCTCTTTTCCTCAGGCCTGTGCGCTTTTCTCGCGTTGGCGTCGACTCACAGCAGCTGAATTCACACGACAGCGCAAAGTTCCCAGGACACGGAGAAAGACTCTGTTATTCCCCCCTCACTACAACAACACCTCTATGAACCACATCAAACTCTCTAAGCCTGGCCCGCTTCAAACTCGTGTGGACGTCTCCTTCACCTTTCTGTACAAGACTGTGTTTAAAAAAAGCCCCCACACTGAACTGAATTGAAGAGAGTTTGGCAAATAAAGACCGCGAGAGAACTCCCCCCAAATGGCTTCTGTAGTGGACACAGTATGGCTTCCGAACTGGGTCTAAAATGGCTTCACAATGCAACTTTGGTAGTGGACATGATAAGCGCATCCGAAAGATCTTTCCTTGTCTCCTTTCCTCTCCTCCTGTCGCCGATACAGCAAATTTTTAAATACTGATTTTTGCCACACAACAGCCATTGTCGAAATTGGTCAAAAAAAGGACACCGAAATTACGCAATTGGATGACAGTTCCAGATTATCCCTCGTCCTCAGACCCTCTTTCAGCAGTCAAAATGTGTTAATAAGCTTGGTAAGTAAAGAAATAAAGGAGATTTCCACGCTCATCTATGAACACTAAACTGTAAATAAATTGAGGACTGACTTAAAGACCGGGTTGAGGATTGGAGAGAGCAAGGAAAGCTCTTGGAACGTTCTAAAAATGGCTTTTGTTTGGGACATAAATGGTGCGTCCCAAAGATATTTCCTTGCCGTTTTCTCATCAGTGATCCCTCCAGTTTT